TTGTTTTTTTCACTTGCGATGTGCTCGTCGAGTTCGTTCAGTTTACCCATGTTGTTCACGAGTTCTCAACGTACATGTTTCCAGGCTTCATCTAAGTTCCCTCATTGGAAATTTAAAACCAGGCAATGGTTTGTCCCAGTAGGTGCCCAACAGTTTTTCGATGCTGTCTGACGCTGTGTCATGTCACCACCACTACTGAGTTCGGACCTGTTAGCTTGCAGATCTTGAACTACCTTCGGAGGAATCTTAGGTTTTGCACCACCATAATCCTGCATGTTCAGTTTATCACGGATAAATTCGGTACCATGGCGACTGGTTAGCGTTGACAAGGCAAGTGGTTTTCTAGTGCGCGTGTTCATGATATCAACCTCCGGTTTATCCTTAAGGCGTAGAATGCCCTTATCATCTATGGTAAACTTTGAATAGTCTTTGTACTGAGGCTCGACGTAGTTTCTATCGTTTTTTAATCCATCGTAATAATCGTCTACTGTTGTTTTAAGTAGTTGGCTGCTCAATGATGAGTTAGTAAATGAAATGTCTTCATCGTAATGAACATCAGCAGAGGTCATAGATCCAAAATCATCCATCGGAATATCGTCCATATTTATGAAATTTTATTATATTAATATAAATATATAACAATGTCATATGGTAGAAAACTAAATCGTTTTCGAAGATTAAGAAAACCACTAGGCGTCAAAGCCGTGCGTCAGTCGGTGACTATTACAAACAAGCCCAGCAAGATAGACCAGAACCAAGTACTGTTGGTTAGATTCCCCAACTTGGGGGAGAACGACGTCATACTACCAGGTACGGTACGATTGGCATTTAACATCACGTTGAAATCAGACAACGACAAACGGGAGCTAGTGAATAATGTGGGCCGTGCAATAGTCAAGAGGACCTCCATAAAAATTAGTGGTAACGAGGTGCTTAGCATAGACGACAGCGATGTATATTACTGTTACATAAACCTATGGAAACGTGAGGGAGAACGCGCCAACGACGTGTACCAGGGAATCAGTAAATCGACTAGGTTACATATCGGGTACGCCTTCACACAAGACGAGACAGCCAAAATATCAAATAGTGAAAAAGCCATCGCCGAAGCGTATGGAAACAGGTTCTGTGTCCCGCTAGACTTGAGTTGCTAACGGGGCATGCACCATTTTACCAAGTCGCATTAGGTGACAGGTTGGAATATAAACTCACGTTCAATGATTACAGCAAAGTCGTGTATACACCGAACGGTGAAGAGGGTAGTTACGAGATCGATAACATCTCGTTGGAGTTCGACATGGTGACTAATCCTGATCTCGCCCGGCAGATTTGAAATCAGTACTCTGGGAAAATGACCATCCTGTACGATAGGATACTGCGACATAGAATGATATTACGTGACAAGAGCGACACGGTATGGAATATCAACATGAACGTGCCGGCGCGATCGATGAAAGGTATATTAATCATACCCGTGGAGGAATACGATCCATTCGAAAGAGACAGCGAGAACTTTTTCAACCCAGGGATCACCAAAGTGGAAGTGACCATAGAGGGAGTGCCTAATCAGCCATTTAGCCATGGAATGAAGGCATATCAGCAGTGGGATGAAATAATGAAGCTACCGGCTATCAAACGAAACTCAATAGTCAACAACGTAGTCAATGACCTGGATCTATCCTCCGTGCATATCGGGGATTACCTAACCACAAAGTACGCGTTATGGTTGGATATGAGATCAACAGATGACGACACTCTACACGGTAGTGGTCGTCGCATCGACAACGGAAGCGAGGGTATAACCATTCAAATAATGAAGAAGGCTCAACCAACTGGTAAATTAAAATTATATTTATATGTAATTATGGACGCGCAACTTAATATAGAGAATTGGAGATTTGTGCAAGCAATGTATTAATTTACCACAAGATCCGCACTGCGCCATAATATGTGGGCAGACGGGCAAGACAGTTTTCGTACTGGATTTGTTGGAGGGGTACTATAAAGACCTATTTGACGATATTATTATCTTATGTCCTGCTATAAAAATGAACAAGACTTACACGGATAGATCTTGGGTGATGACGGATCCCGATGTATATAAAATCGATCCGGGAACACACCCACAGGACTATTTGAAAGTTTATCACAACAAATTTAAAGGGAAGCCGACGCTATTTATCCTGGATGACTGTAGCGCTAATAGAGAGATAACAAAAAAGAGAGATATGCTGTCCTACCTAGCGTTTTCAGGTCGACACGCAGAACATAGCGTCTGGGTGCTGACACAAAAATTCAACTCGGTGTTAAAGGATTTACGTGAACAGACGCGATGGGTAGCTCTATTTCACTGCAAGGACAGGGATTCGTTCGAGGAATGCTTGAGAGAGAACGATGTGATGAGTAAAGTAGACCGGGAACGGGTTAAGAAACAGCTCGCCAAAACTAAACATGCTAAGCTCGTGTTGAAAACCGACCAACCAGTGGATTACCAAGTAATAGTTTAGTAATTTTTACTAAATTTTAGTAATGTTTTAGTAATGTTTTAGTAAATTTTAGTAATGTTTTAGTAATTTTAGTAAGTTTTAGTATAAATGTCGGTTTTTGAAGTTATAGTCGTGTGTAACCTAACCTTTATCTCTTTGTATTTAGGGTGGGCTGGTTATTATTTTTTAAAAATTAAAACTAGATTACCATATTATAAAATGGATTGTGATGAATTACTAGAACAGAGATTAGTTTCAGATGAACAAAAGGACGACAAGCAGCGGGACAGACTGGTAACACTAGTTGTGGGTGGTAAGGCAAAACAATATTTAGGAGATGATATAACTGCTGATAAAATTCAGAAAATGTCAGATGAGGAAATAAATAAATTATACGCCAGGTATGAGTCAAAACTCATGATGACAAAAGTTATAGGTTCTACTATTACCCAGATTTACACAGGTATAGCATCATTATTTTTACCCATCCAACCGGAACGTCGACTCTATTTGTGGGAGGACCTAGAGAAAGACCCGTTTATTGAACACGCCTTGAGCTCTATCAGCTGCGTGCTGTACCACAAATACGGGATGTTTTTAGCCCCGGTGACGGCGGCGATTATCACTGCAAAGCATTGTCAATTTAAAGAGGATAAAAATAATAATAATAATATACAAGATGGATACTTACCAGGAAAAAATAACCAAGATTCCAGAGGAGGAAACACCGAAGACGGAGCCAGTGACGCATGTCACAAAGAAGAAGAACAAAAAAAGAGTTGAAGCTGTTAGAAAAAACGCCATAGCCAGGCACCATAAAAATAATTACACATTGTGGTTTACCGTAGGTGGTGTAGTAGCCACTGCTGTTGTTTCATTATTTATGTTATTTAAACCAAAACAAACACAACCACAGCCATCACCAACACCCCCAGAGGATATCAACTCTCATATTATGTTATGATTAAAATTATATTTCTATTAATATATATTATGTCTGAGGGAAAAACATTCGTTAATGATGCATACCACGCCTTAGTGGTTTCCGGATTAGCAGTAGGATACACTCGGTTGACTAAAATGATTATAAAACAACCGACTATAAAACTCGAATTCGACCTGCAGGATATTGCTATGCTTACTATGAATATTGGTATGGCGATGGCCACCAAGGACGTTCTGATTAAACAAGGTATTATACCTGAAAATATTTTAAAGTAATATATATGATATGACCACGATAGCAATGATGGTTGGTGGAGCTCTTGTGAATGCCCTAGCATTTGCCGGGAGTAATTATCTATTTTCTAAATTCCGAGAGTCAAACGCGGCTGAGGTAGAAGCGGTGAGAAAACGACACGATATAGCTGTAGAAAAACTGCAGACCGCACAGGCTGAATACGCTAAGAGACGCATGAAGAGATTAGATTTTATCAATAATCAACTTCAACGCGAAAATCATTCTGTTAGAACTTTCAAGGACGTCGACGAAGCTATGAAAGAATACTACATGCTAACAGGTAAACAACTAGAACCATTAGGCAATGCACCAACGATTTCACAGTATTACACTCCTTCCGATGGGCAAAAAGATCGTGAGTTGGTATTCTAGGCACTGGGTTTAGCATCGACAGTGTTAATTGTGAAACAATTAGACTAATTACACAAATTATTATATCAAAAATGAGATACGCACCATATCTTTGTCAATGGGTTCTTATGGGGAAAACTGAAATTTGTGGTAATAAAATCCGCATTGAGGGTTATTGTTGTTTTCACCGTAAAGGTTATACTAACTATGTGTTCGGTGTGTGGTATAGGAGTTCAAGGTCATTACCGATTATGTAAAGCCCATGGCGCGGATAAATTACGATTTAAACTTGTTTATGATAAGAAAATAGACTACATCTGCGAAGTTAAACGTTTGTTAAAGATAATGGTATAAGTATATATTTTTTTTATCACTGTGGTATGATTTGTAATTCCTCAAGTACGAATCCTCTACGTGGACCGTCTTTCAAGAAGTATAGGTTAGGTTCCCCGTCTTTGGCATCCACTCGACTGATATTGTACGTTTTCATAGACCATATGGGATCTGTAGCACGTTTACGGGTGTCTCCCTCGTATTCACCTAGTTGATATAAATATCTAAAAAGAGCGCGATCTGGATTTTTTTTTCCTTTTTACGACGGGGTGCTGCTGCCTCTGATATAACGGATTTCATACGGATTGCTTCGACTGGTCTCCTATCAAGTATGCTTGTTATTTCATGATTCAAGAAGTCAACCAGCTGTGGAAGTCGTTCTACCCATTCAGTGTTTCTGTTATTAGGATCCGCTAAATCACGTGAATACTGGCGTGAAAACAAACGTTCGGCTATGAATCTCTCTACTATAGCTTGACTTCGATGGGCTCCCACCTCACCGCGTCTAACTTCTACGTTATGCTTGGCTAGTAGTTTCGACACGGATCCCATGAATTCCCGTCCTGGATCGACTTGCAATAAATCAGGCCATGTAAGCCGACTACGCTTGTATATTCGCTTAGACGCTTGTGCTATTTGATCCGAGTCTTTCGTGGTTAATGGTTCAGCTTCCTTGTAGCGGCTGGCTACGTCTACAACTGTCAGGGCGTACTTATAGGTTTTACCTCTCACCCTGTCGTATGGAAGAAACAACAGGTCGGCCTGGTGAACTTGATTAGGTGTATGTATACCGAATTTTCTCCTCGGTATATATTTTGGTGCTGGTAAGTATATTTGCCATATAACTTGTTTTTGTAACCTGGCTTTGGCTTTTTCTTCCGAAACACATGCGGCTTTAGATAATTTTGTAATAGCGTCTACCCCTTTCCAATATCCTCGCCGGCTGTAGTAAATTTTCTCCATTATATATATAAATTTAAATTTTTTTATGACCGTAAGCAAAGGTTTTGGCAACATCTGAAGCTATCCATCGTTTTGTATCCATTGGTGATAGAGACGTTTTATTTCTAGTCATCCCGTATATTTTGTGCCCGTCACTACGAAGTATGTTCATCTGGTGTTTGAACGTTTTCTTCTCGAACAGGGTCTGTTTGTAGAGGGTATGATTAATATGTCGTTTCACCACGTTCTTTTTCACACCTTTAGCCTTTCTTATTTCAGCGTCGTCTGCTTTTTTGATAGAATACATCTTAGGTCTCAATCCGACGTATTCGGTGATTGGTGTGCCAGCACATTCATCCTTCATCTTACCTAACACCTTTTTGTTGACTTGGCTATGCATGGGGTGGTCTTTTGGGTAATCGCTGGTATCATATAGGTGTATATTGTTTTTAATATCCTCGTACACGTCCTCGGTTTGAATTTCCATGAGTAATGAATCCGTGTCAGTGTACAACACCTCACACCCTTCACCGTATTGTTCCTTGAGCTTGTTATAGTAGAAGTCATACATGAGATGTTTGGATAGGTTTAGAATGCTCATACCAACATAAACCGGTCGATTAAGTATAATGTGGCTCTTTTTCATATGTATCGCTGCCAAGTCATCATCGACTATAATACTTCTATTGTACGCCGGGCTGGATATCAATTTCCTGAGTTTGTTTTCCTCACTCGACCGAAATAGCTTCACGTTAACACGTTTTCGTAAATTCCCCATCGTTTTACCAAATACAGAGTTGTTCATGTTTTTTCTCAAAGTCGCTGGTGGCTGTCTTACATAAATCCGTGTTCATTCTGACGTATGGTTCCATCCACTGGCTTTGATTGAATTTTAGTACCCTATGTATTTTAGTCAGCTTCATACCCAGCGACAGATATAGTTGTAAATTGCGATAGTGAATGATGTACTTGATTTTATTCATCAAGTTAGGTACGAGTTTTTCAACGTTTACCACCCGTCCTGTAGGACCCAGCAAATTTCGTTGGTAGTCAGACATCCATTCCATATTCACCTTCAAACGCTCTGGAGCCAGGGGATAACTGTTGTGTGAGGTGTGTAAATCCTCCGGATATTCTAAATCCACTTCGAGTATATAAACCTTGTTCGAATACTGTGCGATGCTCATAACATCATCGATCTCAGATGTCCACTCAAAACCACAGGTAGGTAGATACTGGTTCATGGCCCAGCCGTACAGGTTGTTGGCATCTAGATAGAGTAGATACTTTGTAGGTTTTTTATGGTTGTAGATTTTCACATACTCGTTGTTAGCTTTGGCATAACGTTTTGATACCATGGAAATACCACTGCGTAACCCTTTCTCTATAAACAGATGCATATCGTAATCGGTGAATAATTCTAATTTCACACCGGTTTTCTTCAGTAGGGCATCCCACGAGAGCCCAGGACTTGAATAATACCATGCCGGGTCCAACCCGTATTGCTTCGAACACGTTTTTCTAAATATCTCGAAAACATCAGCCAGCAATAACACATCAGTTTTCAAATACAAATCGTGATAATCACCTAGATTCTGACACCCCAGTTTTTCCCATACTTTTTTCGCGTGTTCGTAATCGTCTTGTGTGATAGACGCGTCAGACAGCTTGCTATAGAAACTGTCAGTGGGAGGCAGCTGTGTCTCATTTAACTTAAACCAGTCATCCATATATTCATACGGGTAGATACCCTTACGTAGCAGCAAAGCTCGAGTTTCCTCTTCTGTGTGATTAGTTACAGATAAGTCGTTCGGGTTATTAGCCATGACCAAGCTGTCTAGAGACAACAACAGAAACTGAACACTATCTATGAATCTCAACCCATTTAGCGAAAAGGATATATATCTTTCCATATTGTTTGGGATACAGGATATGTTGCCTTTTACCTTTGAAAGAGCTTGCATAATCAAGTGTGAATCATACCCGCGAAGATTGTGAAACACCACTGGTGTATGAATAAGTTCATGATTTATTCTTAGCTTCAAGTTACATTCATTGTGAGCCGAACCTCTTTATTTACCAGTAATGTGACAGTGATCTCTAACTGAATCACCATTTAGAGGTTTACAACACACTTGACAATGTGTGCTTTTGTTGTGGGCTTCCTGGTCATATGCATTGGTGTTTTGTTGCATAGTTTTTTAATAATCTTTTTCTCTTCGTGTTGTAAACACTTTAGAAATTCTTCAGCCGCGTCTTGTCCTCTATAAATAACGGGAGGGTTAGTTTGACCATCACAACGAACGACCACATACCCGAACCCACACGTTTCGTGCTCTTGTACTTTTTGTGTGAAACTTTGATTAGTGGATTGAGCTACTGTATCTATTGGTTTAATGATAGCTTCGAAGTCGGCGTAGATAATATATGGTACTGGTATTTGATTTTTGTGGTTGATAAATTTCAAGATGTTGTTTTTTTTCTCTCGGCATATCTATTCGTACGGCTGTCTCCCCTACACCTAGGCAATCAACCCTGTGCGAATCTAGCAGATCAGCCCTAGAAAACCCGTGAAGGCACCTTTCACAAAAGTGTTTCTTTTCCCTGTGTTTCGATTGATTGTACAACAGTCGGCTGAAATTCTTTATCCATGTGTAGTGATATTTTTCACCTTGTTGGATCATAAACATATTGATCATTTTACGACAATCCTTATACAATAAAGGACTTATCCTGTGTACTATTACGTTTTCACCTTCGTGTCCGAAAACATTTATGGCTAAGTCTTGATTCTGTTGTTCTATTTTTTTGATCTGAGAGATGGGAGTGGGTTCGTCTATACCTTCCCAATTGAGCCCGTCATCTTCTGGATAACTGGAAAGTCTATCGGAATGTTTTTCAACTGGAAATTTAGCGGATCTTATCGCTATCCTCAGACAATTGTTGCCTCGGTTTTTAACGTTAACCATAGCTTGTTTTTTTTTCTTGAAATACTCAGACATGGGTAAGTACGATCCACCTTTCAACGGTATATAGTTTGCTATATCCAGGTAGACCATGTTAATCTTGTCAACAACCCAACCAGAACCCATATTAGTATAACGTTCTAGTGTTTCTCGCATTTTTTCTAATGATCTGTCTATAGAAGAGTTGATAGTGTCTGCTTGCGTTGTAACTTCTTGATTACCTCTGAAGTAAACATTGGTGTATTCAGTTGTTTCATTCGACTGTTGTTTCTCTAGTGTCATGTTTAACGTGAGTTGAAATTTAATACCTCTTAAATCTTTCAGTTCTTCGTTTACTTTGTCAAATACCAATGGTTTTATATCTTCAACGTCTATATTTCTTTGAACTTCCATCCTTCTGTTGTTGGCGATCAATAGCATGTTGTATTGTCCAAATAGTGTTATTAGTTTTAACGTTCCACGCTGTTTTAATTCTTATTGTGCTATTCTAGTTGCTTTACTGTCCTTCGTCGACAGGTTTTTATTATATACATATACTGAACAGCAAAAGAAACGCAAGTTTCGAAAAAATGAAATCTCATGAAGGTAAGCGTTCATGTTTATGGAACGTTCATGGTAAAGTGAAGTGATGATCCAAGATGAGGTGATGTCATGCAATTTGACGTCCATACGAACCATTCGCACAAACACACAAACAGTGCAGCAAAATAATTTTAGCACGTGCATCGATGGTTCTGGATGAAAAGCATGCATTTCACTCTGAGGTATCCTTTATAAAGGTTTGTGTCAAAAAACAGTTCAGTATTGACACTAGGAGATGCACACGACACACAAACGATGCCTAAACTAACCACTGAGCAGAGAGGAATGGCCATTGGAAAGTTGCAAGGAGCTAGCTCTGCAACCGCTGTAGCTAGACAATTGGGCTGTCATCTTACCACCATTACACGACTTGCTCAACGTCATCAGCAAACCGGGGTTGCTGCTGATCATCCCCGTACCGGATGGCAACGAGTGACATCTCATGCGCAAGATCGGTTCATCCGGGTCACTCATATAAGGAACCGAACTCAAGCACCATCAATAACAGCAGCCTTAGTTAATGGGTCAAGGGGAGCAGTGTCAAGCGATATGATTAGGCTTCGTCTTCAGGCTGCTGGAATCCACTGCTGAAGGCCATATGTAGGGCCAATTTTGACACGACGTTTGCAGCCCTCCCATAGCAGGGGTGTCGATGGATTATCTGGCTCAAAACAACATTAACGTTTTTCCATGGCCGTCTCTTTCCCCGTATATGGCTCCCATTGAACATTCTGGGACGAAATTGGACGGAGGATTGGTGCAGGTAGACAGCCACTCACACTTGCACAATTGGAATAGAGATTGGTGTTTGAACGGAACCAATTGCCTCATGCATTCTTTCAGACTCTAATGAACTCAATGAGGCTACGTAGCACAGCCTGTGTGCAAGCTCAAGGTGGCCATACACGCGACTAAAGAGACTGTCACTTTTCGCATTCAGGGGTATCTCCATTTGACGGACTGTGATCAATTTGAACTTATTGCAATTCAATGTCAACATCAACTTTGAGCTATTAAATTGACAGTGTTATCTATAGAATAAATGATGGGACATGATTTTGGTTGTCTTCTATTCACAAACTTGACAAAAAGCCAGACTTGCGTTTCTATTTCTGTTCAGTATATATTCCATTTCAATGTCAAATATGTTCTCGTCACGATATGGCTGAAATATTGCCGATGTAGCCTTTCTCGATGATTTCGCTGTCTATTTCGGGGAAATCTGAAATCTGTTTCCCATATATATATATTTAAAATGTTCAAACAATGTATCGAAATCGGGTGCATCACTAGAGATATTTCTTTTACTCTTTGTAAGCATATTCCAAAAGTCT